CCCCAAAACCCCAAAACCCCAAAACCCCAAAACCCCGGAGAGATTTATGGAAATTGAAGGGGCGTTTTTAGGGGGGAGATGTGCAGATGGAGGGATAGAAGTGTTTCTCGAACTGATAGAGCCATTCTTGTGGGTGGGGAGTACCCCACCTCCTTTTCACCCCAGCCAACTCCGTGTTCATATGAGGGTGAGAACTGTACGTGATGAAGTACCGGATTTGGCAGCGGTCGTTAGTGGTGAGGAGAGGGGGCTGGAGGAGGATTTTAGGGTTGTGGGTGGATTCTGTAGCGGGGTTGGTGATGATGTAGTGGATTTTGGAGAGAGTTCCCATGTTGAAGACGATTTCGGAGCCTGTAGGTCTGATGGTGGTTTTGGAGCCGAGAGGGAGGATTGGGTAGAAGTTAGAGGATTTTAGTTCTTGGGTAATATCTTTGTAAAGTGCTAATATGAATCCATCTCCTTTTGCTTTGCATTTAAAAAGCGAATATCCTGTATCAAGTATTTCAGTTCTTCTACATTAAATCAATGATCAGATACCTATTAAAATTTTGTATCCTCAAGGCTATAATAATGAGCACGAGTTATTTCTTATTTTGTTTTGACTTAAATTTTTTGAAACGAAATTGTTCCTTTGTTGAATCAAGTTGGAAAGATTTCTGTTACTCCAATATACCATTTGCGTATTTTGTTTATCGCGCAAATACACAAGTAAGTTATTCTTACCAGCATTTGAGAAAGTCTCTCGTAACAAGAGGCTGTAAAGAAGAACCTGGTTTTTATATTTTCTCTTTTTAAAAACACCGGTCTTAAGCTCTACTGCATGAACTACCTTTCTCTTGGCATAGTCTTCAAACTCACAAACTGAGTCTATTTTTCCTTTGAGTCCAAACTTTGTAGAGTAGATTTCCAGTTCAGACCCAATCTGGCCTATCAGCTTGAGCTTATACTTGTTGTACTTAGATGATTTCCTCGAGAAGATTTTTAGCCACTAAGGGGTTAGCATAAGCATTACATCTAACGTGGCTTTAATTGCTTTAGTCAGGTTATTAACAACTTTATCTACTTCTTCATTTTCCTTTATAAGAATTATCTACTGAGAGTTGGAAGTAAGGAGATATTAAGTGTCTGACTTTGAAGTCACTCCACACTATGGGTAAGAAATTATACCCATTACGAAGCTTACATAGTACAGACTGTTGTGGTATCTCTCTATAGCCTGACTAATGCTTTGATCTAATGTAATTTATCAAAATTACCTAAGGTTGTTTTAGCATGAATTTTTGTATTGAGAAGATCAGAGAAAATTAAGTGAATGATTTCCCCATATACTTCTGGAACATTGTACGGCTCTGGATCCATTTGAAGGTTATTACTTGGAATATACATAGATCTATAACCTTTTTTATCATAATATTTAGTTAGAATGGTTATTGATATCATGATCTTTGGCTCTAATATAATGAATTCAGCATTTTCTTCTTGTATTATTCTTGAAGATCCTAGGGTTAATTTGAAGTTATTAACGCTACACATTAGGTAAAATATACTCATTAAAGCTACCAATGACCTGTACTTGACTTTGAGGTTTTATTATGTTCCAAAACCATGAATCAGAGAGGATTAAGATAAACTTTCTTGTTGATATCTTCAAGTCCGCAAGTCTCAAGGTGAGTGTCTTTGTCTTATTCCTTTTGATTTTTAAGTTCTTGCTACATAAAATAACCTAGAGAAGAACAAACCTTGGGGTTTTAAGTTCTTTCTCTTGAACTTTCTCCACAATAAAGCATTCATCTTTGTACTCTTCTTTGTATTCTTCATTGCATTCTTCAATGTATTTATAATTTTCCTTGGTCTCTTCTTGAGATTCGAGTCTCTTTTCTTCTTCTTTCTTGGTTCTTTTTTTCACCCCTCTATCCCTACACCAAAATCTTCCTCATCCCCAACTCCACATCCTAGATCAAAAACCCAAAATCTCCCACTCAAAACGCCTCAAAACCCCAAAATTCTAACTCCTAAACCTACTTTCCACCAATTCCTCCACTCTCCTCTTCACTAGACCCACTCCATTCCTCCTCCAAATCTCCCTCTTCTTCTCCTCCATCCTCGCTCTGCTCAAAACAACTCTCAAAGTAAGAAGTTATACTGCTAGTGATCTGGGACTTGTAGTCGTGGGGAGATAGGGATTTTAGGGACTTAGGGTCGTTCATTGGAGTTAAATAGATATTTGGAAGCAAGAGAAAGTATTTTTTCAATTAATTTATTATATTACGGGGTTTTGGGGTTTTGGGGTTTTGGGGTTTTGGGG